CCCCCAATCCCCAAAACCCCAAAACCCCAAAACCCCAACTCAATATCTAAACTTGATCAAATTAAAACGAATGTTATTTCTGATCAGTTTCATTATTATCATCTGTCAGCTCTCCACCTTCGTACAGAGGATTTGTGTGAGTTTTGACTGGGATTTCCCAAGCCTTGTGGGTAGAGATGAGGTTAGTCTTTTTGAGACGCTCAAAAAGTGAAGAAAAGTTGGCTAGATCTTGCTTTTCGAAGTTTAATGATCAATCGTTTCCTTCTATTTGGTCACGGATTTCTTTCCATGTATTAATCAACTTATTTCTTAAGCAGACAAGCTGTTGGGCTCTATAGGGTTATTTTTTAAGCAGAATTACATTTTCTGTATTTTTCTAAAGGGCTTCAAGTAGTCAGTCGTTCCATTCTCAACAGCTTTGATAAATAGGTCTGAGAAGTCGTACTCTGTAAATAAATCTTTTGCAGTTTCATATTTTTTAGCGAACTTAATATTCCTTTTCTTAGATCTCTGTTTCCTGACAAACTCTGATGCCGACATTCCTTTGAAACAACAGTGCACTACCTTATTATCGAAAGATGCGATGTTATCCAAGATACCTAGTTTCATGACGAATGATTTATCTTAACTTACTCTTAAAATGTTGCTTAATAATCTCGATTCGTGCAGCACTATACTCTCCAATGTCCTCATAAGCCTGGCTGATCATGGTCAGTCTGAGACTCTCTGGATCCTTCTTGATCTTCTGCATAATGTTGTTGTAAACATAGTCTTCATTCTCTTCAAGTTTCGTTTTAAACTCTTTCTTCCCAAAATTTCCTTGCTATAAAATCTTATTTAAAGCTAAATACCTCTATTATCTCTTGAAGACGCTTATTCTCAGCCCTGAGGTCTTCATTCTCCCGTTCTAGGTTGTTAGCCTTCTGTTCTAGGTCTTTAAAGAATTCCTTCTTCCTCTTCCTGTATGCTTTTGATCTGTCTTTATTACTCTTAATCTGCCTTTGCTGTTCCTGCCAGGCTTCATCTTTTACGTTCATTTTAATAATGATCTTATCAATATTTGGTTGTTCAAAAGGGGTTTTGGGGTTTTGGGGTTTTGGGG